TTCAATGGCTGTCATTTTAGGCTCAGAGATGAAGAACAAAACAAGCAAAACACTTTTCAAACCTTTTAGTTTGTTAAGCCTCCAGGTGGCATATCCATCAAAGCCCTTTCCTTGCTTTTGGTGCCACAGCCTGTGCAAAAAAAACAAACCCCGCTGTGCAGAAGCAACTGCTTGGGACAAGTTTTGGCTGTCCTCGGTTGTCCTCTTCAGCCAAGATGCAGCGGGGACAGAAAAGGACCCTGTCCCCACTGCCAGCATGTTGCTACCAGCAGAAAGGGGCAGCATCACCTGAATGCAATCCAGGTACAGCCAAGAAGAGCTAAACAAGGGTGTTTTGGGTTTTTTTATGTTTGTACAGTGCTTGTGGATAATAACACAAAATCTAGTACAGAGACAATGAAAGGAGGTGGTGAACCACTGGAGAAAAAGCTAATGTTAGCCTTATCCATGCAACTTTATCAGAGACACAAAGATTTTAAGGCTTAAAGTGACCCTCGTTCCTACCCGACTTCCTTATTACCAGAGAATTGTATCGGTGACCTCAGCTTTTGCCACAGTAACGGCTGTTTCACTAAGGTACCTCTTTCACAGGAGACCTCTGAGATCTCCCATCCCTTTGCAGGGCAGATGGTGGCCCGTTCTGTTAAAGAGTCACCTCCCACCGAGAGTTCATCTGGTTTGTATTTGTCTGAGTTGCTCAGCACCGATTTTTCACGTGTCTCACCCACTGAACTATTTCAGTGTTATTTTTAAAGACAGAACCACAGAAGATGTTTTCTGTGTCCATGGTTTCCCACAGGACAGAGGACACAGAGAACCACAAATCCCCCCAACAGGCCATCAAGGGAAGGCTGCAAAACAGCAGGGGCACAAGGCTGCTGGGCAGTAAAGCGTATGGGATGCTGCGGAACGGGTTGAGCTGTCCCAGAGCAGCCAGGTTAGGGAAATCCCATCATCTTTTACACAGCCAGGCAGCAGAAAAAGTAAGGAAAGATGGGCTTTGGGCTTGGCTAGCCCAGTGTCTCTCCCAAAGGACCTCTTCTGCCAAGAACCCTGCTCTATCCATGCCCTTCTCTCCACCTTCCAACAGCTCTTTCCCACCCTGTTGCCTCCTCCCGCTCTCCCTCTTCCCTGCACTGTGGGTTTCACCTCCTGGGCTGGTGGCACTGGGGGCGTTTCTGCACTTACCTTGTTGGCCAGTGAGAGGCAGGGGTTGGGGTCCCGATCCGGCTGTTCGAGCTTGACAATGGTGATGAACCCCGACTCGGTGTGTTCATCCTCGCTGGTGTTGCACAGGGACAGCGGGTGGGACTGCAGGACAAAAGCAAAGGGAAACTCAGACCTTGGGGCTCAGCATGGCAAAGGGTGGCTCAAGCCCACCACAAACTGTGGCGCAGGGACCTGCTCAGAGGGGGTGGGACACCCCTGCGATGGGCATCACCACCACTGCTCTCTCCCATGGCCCTGTGCGAGTGTCAATGAGGCTTTGAATGCCACAAGAAGCAAATCACTAGGTAAGTTTTGGTCCATCAGGAAAACGTCCCAGAGGAAGATGGCATTTCTACCTTTCTGGTGGCTGCACACAGGTCTGAGTTTGTCCCAGTCCCAGATGTGCAAAGCCAGAGCAGCCTGTGAGAGCACAGCCCTTGACTTCTGGGGCAGAGCATCCCAGCGGCACAGGTCCTGGTGCTGCAAGGACACACAGCACCTCAGGCCACAGGGCTCTCTGCCAGCGTGCTCCCTGCCAGCACTCTGGGCAAGGAGAAGGGACCACAAGGAGCAAAATTCTGGTGCCTTCAAAGATTCAGAACTTCTTGTTTCTCATCCACCAATCTCAACAAATTTATGATAAATTTGCAGAGTAGAAGCCAAAAGAAGGAGTGAAAAAACTGAAAGTGGGTAGAGAAGTACCAGGAATGAGAAGGGAGAGGAAAAGATCCCAGGAGCTACATCCCCAGTGAGTCAAAGAATCATAGAATAGTTAGAGTTGGAAGGGACCTTAAAGACCACCCAGTGCCACCCCTTGCCCTGGGCAGGGACACCTCCCACCAGACCAAGTTGCTCAAAGACCTGTCCAACCCGGCCTTGAACCCCTCCAGGGATGGGGCAGCCACAGCTTCTCGGGGCAACCTGGGCCAGGCTCTCACCACCCTCACAGCAAAGAATTTCTTCCCCAGATCTCATCTCAATCTCCCCTCTTTCAGTGTCAAACCCTTCCCCCTGCTCCCATGGCTCCCCTCCTTGATCCAGAGTCCCTCCCCATCTCTCCTGGAGCCCCTTGAGGGACTGGAAGGGGCTCTAAGGTCTCCCCGGAGCCTTCTCTTCTCCAGGCTGAACTCCCCAACTCTCTCAGCCTGTCCTCCCAGCAGAGGGGCTCCACCCCTTGGGGCATCTCTGTGGCCTCCTCTGACCCTGCTCCAACAGGTCCATGTCCTTATGCTGTTGGTGGCCCCAGAGCAGGGGTCTGCAGGGGTGTCTCCCCAGAACGGAGCAGAGGGGCAGAATCCCCCCCTTGCCCTGCTGGCCACGCTGCTGGGGATGCAGCCCAGGGGTGGGGGGCTTGCTGGGGTGCCAGCATCCATTGCCGTCTCATGTCAAGATGATGTCCACTGAGCACTGCTCTGATCCCTGCCTGGAAAGTGTGTCATTGCTTCTGATTTTCCAGTCTAGCAGTGGAGTGATGGATGGCAGGAGGTCGAACAAAAGCGAAATTCAGCTCTTGGCTCCTTGTGAGAGTCCCTTCACCTTGGATGAGCCCTCCCAGCTGCTGCTAATACAGCTGGCTGGCTTCCTCCTCTGTGACTGTGGTGTATGAAGCACACAGGTTATGGGACTGAAGAGCCCGTAAATACTGCAGTTGTTGGACAGCTTTTGTTACTGCCTCCGTCTGTGGCAGTGTGGGAAGCAGGCAGGCAAGCTCAACGTTATAATCCAGGAGGATTGGGGCAGGCTTTGTACCTGGTGTCCATCCAGAAGCATGCCCAGAAGGCTTCCGACCCTTCGGATACTCCTGCAACAGCACCCCAGTGCTATGACAGAGGCAGATTTAAAAACAGGGGGAGAAATCTTCAGAGCAGTCCAGGGACAGCCCTCGCCCTTGGTCCACCCTTGCCATGGCCGTGCTGCCCCAGGGCATGTGGGAACACACTGCTCCCATCCTCAGGCTGCTGCAGACCCCAGCACGGACCTGGGGCATCCCCTCAGCATGGGGCTGGCCCCATGGGACTGGGGAATGGGACAGGCTGGGAACCAGCCATATGGTGTTTCCTCCTCCCTGCCAGCTGTTTATTGCAGGAATCCAGCTGCGGGGTCACTGCACCTGACTTCGGACACGCTGTTACCGCGTTTTGATGCCCGAGCGGGTCGCAGGAACAGGCCTTTCACGGGAGCGCGACTCACCCGGGCTGTTTTCAGTCACATCCTTCAGGATGTGCCCATCTCTTGCTGCCCACAACAAAGGAGCGATTGGCTCAGATGCAGCCACCTGTGTGGAAGCCCTCAAAAGCCGAAGACAAGCAGCAGCTCCACTGGCCCTCCTGGGCACGGGGAGAGGAGAGCTCTGCCTGGAGGAGCCTCTCGGCCAGAGAGCTCAGGGTGGACGGTGCTAAAACTGCCCGGCCGGGTGCGGGTGGGAGCATCCTCCCCCGCATCTCCCCACCAGCTCAGTCGGCGCCCACCGCCCCCGGGGCCGGGAGCCGAGGTCTTCACTCCCGCCCGCCGCGGGGGCTGCAGCAGGACCTGCCGCCGCTTGGTGGGGCTCTTGGCCGGGCCCTGCCCCTCCCGGCCCGGCCCCGCAGCACCGGGGCATCCCCGGGGGGCGCTGGCCCAGGCGGCCCCGTGGGTGCCGGGGCTGTACCCGCTGGAGACGAGCGAGGCTCGGTGGTGGCGGCCACCGGGGGGTTTGTGCGGCCCGGAGTGTGACACAGCCCGGCACCGGGTCTGAGCGCGCATCCTCCCGGCGCTGCAGGACCAGGGGTGCTACAAAATCACAGCCCTTCCTCTTGTAGCGCTAAGGCTTGGGCTACAAACCAAGAATAAGTCTTACAAAGCTATGAAAGTGAGTAAAAATGGTGCGGATTAAAAAAAAAAAAAAAGCCTATACAACGAACCCACAAACACAGACTTTTGCAAATTGCCTGGATTTGGAGGTAGGTCACACCTGCAGTCACAAGGACAAAGAAATCAAACCCCAGACCCTCAGACAGCCTTCAGGAGCTTGAAGACCGAGGTGTAAGAGATGTTTCAGCTAAAACATAACCTGCTGCACTTTAAAATACTGCACAGGGGAGCTCGGCACTGGTGAACTGCTGCGTGCCTTTGACTGGCGGTCCCTCACCATCTTTCTCTTGGGGTCTTCCTCTCCAATCCATAGTGATACTAGAAGAAAAGTTTCAAAATGATATATAATTTAGACCTCAGACTTAAAGACACTAGAGAGAGCGCAACTGTACCAAGCCAAGCACTGTAAACTCTGGAAATTCAGGCTTCCGGGGAAGCAATCCCATCTGTTAGAAGTTGGGAGTGCTCAGGGCAGGCTCCCAAATAACCCCGTGCTTCACCAGAGCAACGGCAGGCACTGCCCCCACCCAGACCAACACATGCTGAGGTGCCCGTGATCCCGCTGGCTGGCAGGCACTGCCCCCACATGCTGAGGTGCCCGTGATCCCGCTGGCTTTACCCAGCAAAGTCATTACTTTTATACTCTGTTTGCTGACTGGGAGTTCTCCAGCTTTTGGTTAATTTATCATTTCAATAATTGCAGAAAAGCACAAAACAGGAAATGCAAGGAGTGTGTCTCGTGATACATCTAATAATTCAGAGATAACCCTCCTGCCGGCGTTATCGAGCCTTCACTGAGCTGCTCCCAGAGGAGCCCAGGCCACCAGCGCTGGGGATGAAGTGTCACTTCTCAGTGCTGGTTGCAGTGGTGTCCGACCCCGGGTGGGAATGGCCTGGGGTGCTACAGTGTCCCTGGCAGTGACGCTGTGGGGCGGGGGATAGTCCTGATCACAGAGCAGCCTCTCTGTGATGAGGATTTCTGGGCCTGATCACAGTATTAATGATGGAGACTGGGAATAACATGCCCCTCTACTGTGGGGACAGGCTGAGAGAATTGGGGGGGTTCAGCCTGGAGAAGAGAAGGCTCCAGGAAGATCTTAGAGCCCCTTCCAGTCCCTCAGGGGGACTCTAACTATTCTATGATTGATTCCAAGAATAAGGGCCATGAGCTGAGCTTCTGCAGCTCCAGATGAGTGTGGGGAGCACATATGAAATGCTGGCAGCTGTTCTGGAGGGGGTCGCAGTAGGTAAATCTGGAGAAGACCTGCTGCTGAGTGCACCAAAACCTTCCCTTTGTTTTTTTATTGGGACTGGGCACTGTGTTCTTTTCCTCTTTCCTTTGGGACACTCACTCTCCCTGGCCAAGCAAGGGTCCTTCACCTCAGGCATTCCTGCTGGGACACAACAGCACCCGCCAAGGGCACGGACGGCAATTAAGGCAGCACTGGGAGAGCCACAGACATGCAGGATCCTGACCAGCCCAGACCCTTCCTCACATGGGCAGCTGCCCACGGAGCTGAGGCAGACTAGTGGTTCCCTCGTTATTCTGTGACAAGTCTCTCATCAGACACTGATCACCTCTGGAGGCTGAGGATGCACTGCCTTCCACGGATTCACCGAATTGTCAGAGTTGGAAGGGACCTCTAGAGATCATCTAGTCCAACTCCCCTGCCAAAGCAGGGTTGCCCAGAGCACATCACTCAGGAGCATCCAGGTGGGGCTTGAAGATCTCCAGAGAAGGGGACTCCACACCCTCCCTGGGCAGCCTCTGCCAGGGCTCTGCCACCCTCACCCCAAAGAAGTTCTCCCTCAGATTTGACTGGAACTTCCCATGTTCCAGCTTGTGCCCGTTGCCCCTCGTCCTGTCACTGGGAACCACTGAAAAGAGTCTGGCTCCAGCATCCTTCAGCACACCCTTTAGGAACTTGTAAACATAGATTAGGTCTCCCCTCAGCTTTCTCTTCTCCAGGCTGAAGAGCCCCAGCTCTCTGAGCCTTTCCTCATCAGGGAGATGCTCCAATTCCTCCATCATCTTTGTTGCCCCAGGCTGGACTCTCTCCAGTAGTTCCCTGTCCCTCTTGAACTGGGGAGCCCAGCACTGGCCGCAGGATTCCAGTTGTGGCCTCACCAGTGGAGAGTAGAGGGAGAGAATGACCTCCCTCGACTGACTGGCCACACTCTTCCCTACACAGCCCAGGATCCCATTGGCCCTCTTGGTGACAGGGGCACATTGCTGGATCATAGATCCTCTCCTGGCTCTCAGATCCTTCTCCTCAGTAATACTTCCTAGAAGATCCACCCCTAACCTA